ACGGCGGAACCAGCATCCGGCGGATCCCATTCCTCTGCAGCCAGTCCAGGTACTCGGCGCTAGCGAAAGCGGGACCATTGTCGGACACAATAATGTCCGGCAATCCCTGCGCCGCGAAGACCTGCCGCAGAGCCGCAATGGTCGCGCTTGCCGAAGGACTGATGACTGGCAGTGCCTCCACCCACTTGGAGAAGGCGTCCACTACCACCAGGAAGTAGTGGCCCTTGAAGGGTCCCGCATAGTCCACATGCAAGCGGGACCACGGCCTCTGTGGGAACGGCCAGGGGGTGATCTCCACGTGGCGCGAGGCTCGCTGGTTCTCCTGGCAGACCTGGCAGCCTTGCACCTGGTGCACTATGTCCTGGTCCAAGCCAGGCCACCAAACGTGCGACCGTGCCACCATCTTGGTCTTTTCCACGCCAGGATGCCCCGCATGCAGCAACTGCACGACCTTGGCCCGGAGACTTTGTGGAATCACCACCCTGGAACCCCACAGCAGGCAGCCCTGCTCCAAGCTGAGCTCGGCGGTCTTGTGGCTGTACGCCTGGTGGCGCAGCACTTCCCCTCGGGCAAGCGCCTTGACCACCTGAGAAAGGACCGGGTACCGGCTGGTCGCCTGCGCCACCGCAGTCCTGGTGAGCACCCCCGGGTAGGCCCGCTCCAGCAGGAATACGTCAGCTGGCTCTGGAACGGCAGCAGGCAACTCCGGCAGGGGCAGGCGGCTCAGGGCATCGGCAGGTCCCAGGTCCTTCCCAGGGCGGTAGACCAGCTTGTAGCTGTAGGCTGCCAGCGTCAAGGCCCAGCGTACCACACGAGGCGATGCTTGCACTGGAACTGCCCTGTCAGATCCCAGCAGCCCCAGCAGCGGCTTGTGGTCCGTGACTGCCTCGAACTGCCGGCCCCACAGGTACTGATGGAAGCGCTGGACCCCGAAGATGAGCGCCAGGCCTTCTTTGTCCAGCTGGCTGTAGCGTTGCTCTGCCGCATGTAGTCGACGAGAAGCAAACGCCACAGGGTGTTCCTGACCATCCTGACCCCGGTGCGACAGGACGGCTCTTACCCCATACGGCGACGCATCCACGGTGAGGACTACAGGCTTGGCCGAGTCGAAGTGCACCAGCACTGGTGCCTTAACGACCAGCTCCTTGCTGCGCTGGAAGGCCAAGTCCTGCTCCTTCTTCCAGGCCCACTGCTGCCCATCACGAAGCAGGCGATGCAGTGGCTCTAGATGCGTCGACAGGTTGGGCAGGAACCTCCTGTAGAACTTGATGAGGCCGAGGTAGCTCTGAAGCTCCTTCTTGCTCTTGGGCTTCGGCGCCTTGAGCACGGCCTCAATCTTGCGGGGAGCCGGGGCCAGGCCGGCCTGGGAGATGATGTGTCCCAGGTACTCCACACTGGGCGTCAGGAACACGCACTTGTCCAGCCTCAGCTTGAGACCGGCGTCCTGTAGTCGTGTCAGGACTTTGCGCAGGTTCTGCAGGTGGTCCCCGTCGTCGGTACCGGTAACCAGGATGTCGTCCAAGTACACCGCCACGTGCCTCATGCCCCTGAAGAGGTTGTCCATCTCCCTCTGGAAGATGGCTGGGGCTGAGGCCACGCCGAAAGGTAGGCGCGTGTACTGGAAGGGTCCCATAGTTGTTGAAATGGTGACATACTTCCGGGCGGCATCCTGGAGCACCAGCTGCTGGTAGGCATCTCGAAGGTCGAGCTTGGAGGACTTCTGTCCCCCGGACAGAGCTGACCACAGATCTTCTACCCGAGGCAGCGGGTACTTCTCGACGGTAGCGACGGGGTTGATGGTGACTTTAAAGTCCCCGCAGATCCTGACGCGGCCGTCTCGCTTGAGGACTGGAACAATCGGTGCAGCCCACTCGGAAGTCTTGACGGGCACCAGGATACCCTCTCGCTGCAGCCGTTGCAGCTCCTGGGTGACCCCGTCCTTCAGGGCGAACGGCAGCGGACGCGGCTTGAAGAACCGAGGCCGGGCTCCCTCGGGAACGTGGATGCCGACCGTCGTGCCACGCAGCCTGGTTGTGAGGGTGGACGATGACTGGCCGGAGCGGCGTACGCTCAACGGCGTTTATTGGGCGCGATGGTCAATGTTGCCCGCCGAGCCTGGCGGCCGCAGACGGGCGGACTGGAGGGGGGCGCTACATACTTGTTACGGGGGGATCCTTTCCTGGTCAGGAATTCTGAAGAAATTTTTGAGTTCCTACAGGGAAGAGCCCTTAAAGGGACAACAGGTTTCTCAATTTACGTGGAAGACCTTTTTCATTCGGTCCCCCATGAACACCTTTTTGAGGCTGTCAGACTCTGTATTGAGGAAAATGGAGAGGTCCCATTTCGCAATGCGTGTGGTCTCACAGTCGAAGGTTTTTTGGAGCTGCTGAACCACTACCTCAACTCCACTGTCGTTTCCTTTGAGGGAGAGCTGTTTGCGCAGAAACGTTGCATCTGCATCGGTTCTGCTGTAGCACCGGTACTGTGTGACATTTTTCTTGCAAATTGAGACAAGCGTATATCTGAAAAAATTCAACAGAAGGAACATGTTAAAATTTTATACGCCGCGTCCTGTCTAGTTCTCCCTTCGTTTTTTGTCCCTGTTGTTTTCGCGTATTTCCCCATGATGCAAAACCAACTAGCCAACTATATAGCAGCCTCGTGGTGATCTTCGGCAGCCTAATAAAATGTTAGGGCGCATGACTGATAAGGCACAGTGTTGTAAAGTGAGGGCCCGAAACAAGTGCACGTAAAATTGAATATAACATTAGCCTCCCGAGGCAGTACTTCGTGAAGTTTTGAGTTCATGCAAGCCGATGCCCAAATGTGATTTATGTTAGGATTACAAGAAATCTTAATCCTTATTTGGCGCTATTTATGTGTAATTAGGAATATCTGCATTAGTCTAGAACAGGGGTGGCCAGGTTGACCTGGTCTATAAGCCGCAAACAAAACTAAGAAACTTGTAAGAGCCACGGGGGGGGGGGGGGGGGGGGGGGGCTACGAATGATGTTAACTCGGGCTTCCGCGACCTTCAACAAGGAACGATGGCGAGCATCCTTTATCTAAAGGGGACAAGTATCACCGGCGAGTGACAAAGGCCACAAGACTGAACATTTCCTCGACCCCAAGCCATGCATGCATGGTTTGACAGTCCCTGTACTTGATGCCTTTCCCCCTAAGGTCCGGCAAACTCCCTGGAACAATCAAAGAAACAGGATCTGTGGAAGCATACGAGTGGAGAGCGGTTCGACTGTAAGTATGGGGGCACAAGGCTGCCGAACCGCAAGTTGTACTTTATTCCGAAATCCTTGGGAAACGCGGAAAGGGAGAAAGGGGAGAGGTGGGAGGGGGGGGGGGGGGGGTTCCTCACGAGGGATTCGCGAGCCGCACTTGGACCAGCGAAGAGCCGCACGCGACTCGGGAGCCGCGGTTTGGCCACCCTTGATCTAGAATTTCTTCTACTGCTTCGAAAATATTAAATAACGCTATTTCTAATTCTTGCTATCTAATAATAAAAGCGTATTGTACGAACGATAAAATACTATAGAGCATAATTACAAATTTCATGGCGGAAATAGTGCCTATTGCCAAAACAATGCGGAAGATATTTTATCAATTTTGCAGCCCAAACCGTTTCGAACCGGTTCTAACCAGTTTGAACCGGTTTTTGGTTGCTCCCCGGAACTGAACTGGAACTGAACAGGAACTGAAGAGAAAGCCGTGAGCCCAAACCCGAACAGGACCAATAAAAGTTTCGGTTCGATACTGCTCTGCATGACTGCGTGCCCGCCTATTTGCACCTGTAAGCCTGTGCGTGTTCTGCGTATTAGTACCCGTGCGTTCCGTCGCGTGCCCGAGGTTGTGTGTAAATATTAGTACGTTACAAATAGGGTTTCGCGCTTTCGGTTTCTATTTTTTTTTATTCGGTGTACTTTCTTTTGTGTTTCTTCTAAAATTTACTTTTCGGTTTTTTTCGGCATATATTTATGCCCACAAAAGTTTATCGGATTTTTATCTGAATATAAAATAAACAGCAACGGACACCGGATCAGATGATCCTTGTAGCTCTTATATTTGTGATCGCTCAAAGAATAACTGAAAACGAAATGGACACTTTATTTGGAAAATGTGTGCCACTGTAAAAGAAACAAGAAAAATAAAAACGCAGAAGTACAAACAAGTCAGATATGAAGCCTATGCCCAGAAAACATGGAACTTCACCTTCTGTACGTCAAAATTACGTGATCTTATTATAGTACACACACATGTACTTTCCCAGGTTCTCCTCGTTGATCCGCAGTCTTCCTTTCCTGTTAATATGACCCTGAGCTTCGAGAACGCCCTCTCAACGCTAACACTGGACATTGGCAGGCTGAGGAGATGAAAGGTTGCATGAGCCAAAATCGGCCAATCAACCAATTGTGACCGCCAAAAGAGACTTGGTGCGACATTTTGAAGCACAACACAATATTATATGAGCTTGCATCAAGTTAGTCTTCCTTACAACGAGTTCGAAAACACGCTCGTACATGGCGAAGTCATGGAGCATTTCGGACTTTTGATGATGCGTACATTAAACCAAAGCGTCGTAATGCCATCCAGGTATCCCAAATATTCGGACACGTTTCGATAGACACTGCCGTTCCACTTTTTCGCCACGGCTCTGCGGTACGACTGGAAGGTCAAAGTGGCCTTTTCCGGTTAAAACTGAATTTTATAAAATGAATTTGATGAACTTTAATTGGTTTTTATTGGTTTAACTCGAAAATGCTGAACCTAAATCTGACCTTTTTCTGTTAAGACCGAATTTCCGAAGATAGATTCGGTGTACTTTTATCGGTTTTTATCGGTTTAAACCGAAAACTCCGAACCATAGTTATAAATCGCCTAGGGCCAACCCATAAAAAAATTTGTGTAGGAAATCCAATTAGAAATACGGGAAGTAAATGTTTTTTTCAATTTATTATGACTGTACATGTTGATGAGACGAGGGCTCTTCAACCGTGGTATCCTCCACCGTAGCCTCCGCCGTAGCCTCCGCCGTAGCCTCCTCCGTATCCCCCGTGTCCGCCATAGCTGATGAATTTCACCAATCCAATGCCATGGCCACCGCCGTAGCCACCACCGTAGCCGCCGCCGTAGCCCCCACCGTAGCCTCCGCCGTAGCCTCCGCCGTAGCCTCCGCCGTAGCCGCCACCGTAGCCACCAATGTATCCAGCCATCGCCGAAGCGAGGGCCAAGGAGAACACGAGTACGGCGATCTGTGAGCGCATAGAAATAATTCCTGTGGCTTCCCTTGTTTCGCCAATACTGGCTCGAGATAAATTCATTGTTAGAGCATATATAAAAAGAGTTACTTATTGAATATTTTTTGCTTGAGCAAAAAAAATCTGTTGATACTACTCAAATTTATGTTTCTTTTTTCTAGAAATGAACATTTGCTTAGAAACATTGAGTTGACTGGACAATCGAAACCGTTTAGTTTTTTTCCGGATTTACTTTGTGCGGTACATTTCAAAAAAAAAAAAAAAATCTCGAAATAAATTAAAAGCAAGCAGAGTACAGCGTGTAACCAAAGACAAATTTCAGTGTTTTTTTTTTGCCTGAAAAATAAACAAACCCATCGCCATTCTGTTAACCTCCGCCCAAATATAGTGGTAGGAATTTAGACAAGATGCCAAAGTTTCAGAACTAATTGTTATCTTATTAAAACTTATGCCATTGTTTAAAACAAATTTTAAGGTAAAATAGTGCCAGTTTCGGGTAGCTGTGAACGTCTTTAAACAATAGATAAAGTTAAAAAATGTTTGCATTTTATCTAGACCGCAAACGCCACGATTGAGCTGAGACTCACCTGTTGAATTGCGTAATTTGTTTTTGCGGTAACACAAACGCTGTAGTTTTTTTGTTTTTTTTTTATCTTGGGGGAGATTTATTGGGTTTCTCAAATCTCCTAATACTTCTGTATGGCTTGTAAAGGTGTTGTATCAAAAACTACTAAGTTCATAGATTGGTATGTGTCCTTGGTTAAGTTGATGGGATAATAAATATAATTTTGCCACATGATCTTTTAAGAGGCGTGGAGAAACCTTTTAGTATAAGTAAAATTCTTGCTCAATCTGAATACTGCAAAACCCTTAATGTTCGCGAGCCCTCAATTTTCGCGAATTTCCCGAATTGAAGAATTCGCGTAATTTAAGGGCGCGCGAAAATTCCGGTCCTTAAGATTTTCAATGCAGGCATCTGGAATTCGCGAAATTTAGTGGTCGCGATTATGTCATTTGTGACCGAATCGCGAAAAATAGGGGCCGCGAAAATAAAGGGTTTTACAGTAATCCTTTAACATTATTTCAAACATCAAAATAAACCTCGTCATTCATAAGGAATATACGGGTTTCTCCTTTTTCCACAGTACTATAAACCAACACACTATGTGAATGCGCGTCACGGTACGTACTTGGTTATGAAACATTAATGAAATTAGTTTCAGCTTTTTGCTTATACTCTTTAAGATCTTTTTCGTTGTGCACTGTTTTTAATGTTCATAATAATATAAACTGATACAATACACTAAAATAGAAAACATTGCGACCAATAAGCTTATCAATATGGAGCTTACAATGACATCTAAGGAATACAAATATATTTTTTTTAACCTAAAACGCGTGCTATCTCGAGAGGTAAGACTTAGGGGGTGTGCGAATAGTGGGCGCAGTTTCATTCCTAGGTACAACACTGTTAAGAGAACCGGTCGCTGCAACTTTTTCTTGCACTGTCAAAGCTTTGAATAACACAGTGCCATTCGATTCGAAACCAACATTCGCAAGCCCCTAGTAAAAATGACCAAGAAACCTCACGAAAGTCTTCATAATCCCGGCAATTCCTTGAAGGCGAGTTGGCAGCAGAGGCAGCTCGAATGGTGGTTCGGTGTGAACCCAGACCCCTTATATACTGAATGTGCCGGCGTAACGCTCATGGTGAAATTAGGACGCTATTCCTCAGAGCGGGTAAGCGATGAAACCGGGAAAGAAATTCAAAAAAAGATATCTCAGGCGTGACCCCTGGATCGAGATGTTGCAATAAAGAGATTGTAGACCAGCACCTTGTTTATTTTATAGAGCGCGGCGTGAATTACTGCAAGGCGACTCTTAGCGTTGCGAGGTTTGGTGTGCTGGTTACGCAGCCCGGGTTGCGGGGTATTATTGTTCACGCGGAAACGTTAGCGCACCGTTGAATGTTGATATTATAAACTACTTATACTTCAGGGATGGGCAGAGGTAATGAAAGATTATATCTGAAAAAAAAAACAATCACTCAAATACATATTTTTTTTTGCAATCAAAAACAAATACTGATGTATAGGGGGTATTCACTGGACGCCATATTTCAGGGCGCTGTTTAGAGCGCATGCTCAAAACGAGCTCGCATTAATAACCTACTAAGACCGGCAATCTTGATAATGTGGAATGCACGTTGCAAAAAAAAAACTGCGGAAGTTCTCCGTCAGCACGCGCTCAGCAGTCGCGCACACACCTATGGCCGCCAGTGAATACTCCCTATATTTGTCTTTTATGTGACAGGATCACGTGGACGGGACATTCCTAAGATGCTTGTAAAAGAAACAGCAAAAAAAAAAAAGATATATATATATATGGGTGATTTCATTTCAACTAAAGCACACATTTTGGAACGAATTTTTTTTTTAAATTCATGTTATCGGGCAATTACTATAATAAAAGAAGACGCTAACGGCAAGTTCGTCGAATTTTCGTTCTCAAGTTATGGACCGTTGAAGCGGCCAAGGTGGAAACTGTCGTTTTTCCAGCTTATCGGGGGTGCCATATTTCACTCCATCCGTTTTCCTTACTTTTTACGCTACATCAATATAACGTTTTGGGAATACTCTCAACATATGCTTTTTTATGCTAATTAAGCGTCTAGGTCATACCATTTTTAATGTATTTTTTTATTTGTCAAACGGCCTCTCTGCGATAATATTTGACGAAGTTCAGCAAGCTGTGCTGTCTGACCTAATCAACATATTTTTGCAATTGTTACATCACCGTAGAACTCCAATTAAGCTGCTTATTTTCAGTATAATTTCAACATTGTGCAATAAGTATATAATGCGCTACATGTGCCTGAAAAACAGATATTTCGAAGAACTAGCAAGTTTGGAGTCGATTTTCGAAAAAAACACCACTTTTTATTTTTTACTTTTATTCACAATTACGTAATATAGTATTCTATCAGGAACTACCAACAGAAATTGTAATATTTTGCTTTTATGGCCACTATTATGACTCAAACCTCGTGTTATGAGCTTTTTGAACGGGACTTCGCACAGGCACTCTGCTGAGCAGAAGTTTTACCTATCTATGGTTTTCTACTTAACGTGAGCAGTTACCTTAATATCCAACCATAAACATAAATAAAGTTTTAAGTAGTGTACTTAAAAAAAATTACTTAGAAAGTCCGTATCCACAAGTGCGAGCACCCCTCCACTTACTTCCTCTATATACGAGGGAATGCAGATCATTAGAGAATTCCTCTGGGGCCTTTTGCTTTCGGCTTTGAGTTCAAAATACCGAACTTGATATGTAATTGTCATATTTTCTTATGTCAAACAGACATGCAGTGCATGTACATATGTATGATTTTCTATCTGACGCTTAGGAAGTACGGTTTATTTAGTGCACGTACCGACTCTTTCGTCAAATAACAAGCAGTTCGTAGCGTGTAAGGCTTCAAATCTGTTAGTCATGTGTTTAGGTTATATCTTATACCCTTCCTAGCCTACTTAACTATCTTTCCGTAGCAAATGTGCAGCTATCGAAGACTTCAAATAAAGGTCTTCGATTGTTTTTTTCGAATTCCGATGTGTAAATTATAAAGATTTGTAACTAATTAATTTACCACATCGCCGCTGTGTGCCAAATTGTGTGTGGGCCGAGGGCTAGTCAAGCTGCTTGATGCAGCTTTTTTCCTCGGTCTCCATCCGTCATTGTATGTGATGGAAAATAAACAATTTATTATTATTATTATTATTATTATTTCTACTTTCAGTGATTCATGCCGGGTTACTTAGACGTTTTCCTCGTGACTTACGTTTGTCCGGGAGTCTAGATGGTATACGTATCCTCTCCGTCAACACATAGGGCCAAGCTCACACACCTTGCAAATCACGCCAGTGAAAAGTAAATAAATATTGTTATGATAAATAATGTTGCTTCACTGGCTTTTACGCTCAGATATTGAGGTAAGTACTAACATTAAATAGAAAACCTAACATAGGTCAAAATTCTGCTCAACTGAGCGTCTATGTGAAGTCCCGTTCAAAACTCTCATAGCACGTGATTCGAGTCCTAATAGCGGCCGTACAAGCAATATATTACAATTTCTGTTGGTAGTTCCTGACAGACTACTATATTATCTCACTGTAAATAAAAAAAAAAAAAGAAAGGTGTTTTCTTTTAGCAAATCGACTTCAAACTTGCAAGTCTGTCTAAATATTCGTTTTTGAGGCAAATGTTCCGCGTTATATGTTTAGCGCAAAATATTTAAATTATATTTAAAACACGAGCTTAATTGGGGATTTACGCTGATTTAAAGATCATAAAAATATATTGATTAGGTCATACAGCACAGCTTGCTGAACTCGGTCAAATATTGTTGCAGAGAGGCGGATTGACAATTGAAAAATACATTAAACATATTATGACCTGGACGCTTTATTAGCATAACTCGCCGTTTGCACCTTCTTTTATTAAGGGAATTTACAGATTGTTACCAAAAATTTCAGAGGCACTAATTATTAGTTAGTGTTTTTTTTTTTGTAAGTCACTTGTATTACTGGGCGGCAAGTGAACAAAAACCAAAATGTAAGCTTTTATAGCCGACATACAAAAAAAGTATTTAATTTTCTGTTTATTTTACTTTATAAAGCACTGCCATAGGCAGCTAGAGAAAAACAATTAGCCAAAAGAAAAGGTAGGCTTTTTAAAAAACTGACCTCCAATGCGCAAACTTTTTGAAATAGTCCTTTCTCTACGAAACAATACTGTCCTTACTCTTTTACACACAACATCAAATTTGTTATCATTTGAAGGAGTATACTCTACGCTCTCTGAAAATACTAAATACATTAAGACACCTCGGATAGGTTTTATGGAAGAGCTGGTAAACTTTCGCAAATATCGTCCAAAACGTCGTATTGAGAAATTTTCTAAAATATATTTTATATAAATAATCGCGTTATATTATTTGTCAGATA